CCTTACGATAAAAGTCAGTATACAGTTTTGCCCAAATGAGGTTGGTCATAACTAGGTTTGCCCGGTCAAAAGCCGAAATATGACATTTTGCCCAAGGATTGTGGGCAATTCGCGTTTTKCCCGGGCATTTCTGAGGTTTGCCCGATTTCGACTTTTGCCCGTAACATATATACAATACTACACATGTTTACCTGTTTTTCCATTATCTATCCCATCTTGTATACGCACTGCACCGTTAACAGTTTGTACCTACCTAATTTAAACGATTTGAACTCGACCAGATCATATATTTTCATGGCCTCGTTTTAAAATCAAATATTCATTTAAATCCTTAGAAAAATAATAATTTTATTTTTTATGTCAAACAATTAAAAGGATACGTATATGTGATTATCCGAGTATCTTTTCTGCAAATTTTTGTTTATAACGTCCTCGTCTATGTCTGATATGGACGTCATATCTGGCACGCCACAACTTCCTGTAAAAAAAAAAAAATACTAATGTATTCCTAATCACAATAATTAACATTTTTTTTTTTTCAATACATTATAATACTTAATAATTTAACATTATATTTTGTATTGTACTAATATTTAATATACTATTTAAATTGTATTAAATACTAATAAGAATAGCAAATATGTTACATTCATTACTTATTATGGCGATTTAAAAAAAAATACAACTACACAAATCATTACTTGTTTCGTGTACTAATTTATTACTCGTTAAACATGCGGTTCTTTATTTGTACTCATTGTATATAATAGATAAAGTAACAATAAATCAACAATTAAATTTTTTTCACGTCTATCTTAATTTATATCTATTTTGTTTATAACATCATCTATAATTAAACTGAAATATGGTAATACTCGATTTTACGTTAATCTAATTATCGCCGGCTTAATTATTCCATTTTTGACTATTATATTACTTGATTATTTGTTTTTTTTTTTCTGAATTTGATGCCGGTATTATTACACACAAACTAATGATGGGCACCTACATAACAATTAAAGCAAATGATGATTATATACATTCATTATGTTTATGGACCTTACAACTATAATATTGTTCGATTGCAATAGTACAACTACAATAACGATAAAATATCAGCGTATATTATTATGATATGACAATATAAAAATTATTTATATAAAAGCTAAAAAGGCATAGAGTTAGACTTTTTGCTGGTTCTGTGAATCTGTTAGTTTATTTTTTAGTTTCGACTCTGAATGACTAAGAAAAGTTACTGATCCCATGGTAAAAAAAAATAAATACTTGGTACGCCATAATAATATGCAGTACTAGTGAGCAATTAATTTTGTGTAGGTTTGTAGCGAAACATTATATGGTGTTTTCTTCAGATGTATATTTAATTTAATAATATCATAGAATAATATTAATGTTTCGCATTTCAATAATATTTATATTTTATTGTATTCTCTGATTAAGTACACATAAACATATAGTAGCCTGCACTTGGGGTTCTTTTTTGCGATAGTAAACGTTGATTTCAATAACAATTTAACTCTTATTCTCGAGGGCAAACTTATTTTGGACGGTTGTTGACAATATATTGTATACTATAGTAATGGTAGTATATACAACGAATGAAAATAAATCTATAAGCAATATTATACGTCATATTTCTCATAATATTATTGTCGATTCAAACACTCAGAACAATACTTTGCGTCAATAGCAATAAAGACAAACAAAATGTCGATAAAAGATAATAATAAAAAAATGTATTTTTTGATATTATTTCATATTTTATATCATTTTTCAAATATTAATTATACGTACATATTATGTTATAGGCGCATTTTATTTAAAAAGTACATATTTTGTATTTTTTAGTGCAAATTTAATACGTTAACGTTGGTATATATAATAATATTGATTAGGTATTTTAATGCATCATGACATGTGCAATTTTCCTGATCATTACATGATATTCAAATTTTCTTGGAATACTACTTGTCTATAATATTATATTTTGTTAATAATGGTCAAACGGCCAAATCCTTAAATGACAATTCTTTTATGTCAGGTATAAAATAAAATATAAAAATCAATGAATTATCAAATATTCCCAACTCGTCTAACATCTAACACATATCGAAAGACTTGAGATATTTCACCAGCTCTTGGTTTTCCAATAATATGGACACGGTGGTAGGTATGTCAAGAACGAAAATCATAAAACTACAGAAAATGACAACAAATTGTCAATAACAATAATAGCCACTGCGGTATAAAAGCTTCTTCTATAGATAACGTATTACGTGAAATGGACACGACAACAACAATGATTATGTCCGACAACTATATCAAAAAGAAAAATTTAGAAAAAACGCCCATGACGATGTCACAATAAGATTTTAAATCCGATGAGAAAACGATAATCTGGTGTAGTGTTGTACGTATATGTATAACTTTAGTAGGTATATAAAATAAGTACTCAGAATTTTTTGAAACCCCCACACAATAAAATTATACACAAATATATGGGCATTAACTAGTTTTAATAAGTTAATTTTCTATTCGATGAATCTGCTGTAATGACATAGCTTTTCTTATTAAACCATCGTTATAAATTTCTATATAGTATAATCATAAGTAATTGATTATTTTTTGTTTATTCACTATGCAAGTACAATATTTAACTAAAATGTAGGTCTTGTGGAACACTATATTTTTGATAAGTGATATAATCGATGAAGATAATAACTTTTGCTTTGCCAAAATAATTAACATAGTTATAAATATTGATTGTTTCAAAAGAAAATAGATTAAAAATGTTGATATATCAGGTATTCATTATTATAGTATATAATGTAAGCCATAATATAATAATTTCAAAGGTTTATCTTATTTTTCAAATATTTACAGCATACCATAAATGAACTAAATCAGTTCTGCAGCAACAAGTTAACAAGGTATTGCAAATGTTATATTACTGCAACTAAACGAATGAACATTTGATTGTGGTCAGCCATATAGATCATATAAGTTTTTCATAATTATTTGCGATGCTTCATATTGAGAAACGTGACAACATAGATGTGGATCATATTATAAATTTATTTTCCATAACAGGGCGGAACATATCGAAATAATAAATATTATATTTATTATAAATTAGTTATATTTATACTAGCTGAACCCGTGCACTTTGTAGCCCGTCAAAAAGCCTATACTTCTTAAATGTCTCAAACTCTGTGTTAAATTTGTTACCTGTGATCATGCAAGCAGTATTTTTTTATGCACATAAATATATAATGGTTAAATTATACTAAATAATAATCTTACACTGATAATCAATTTAGTTTATTATTATGTAATTTTATTCGTTTTATCGAGAAAAATCTGAAAATTTAAGTATTCAATTGAATGGTTTTCCGACACGTAAGCATGCCAAGCATACAACTGTCCATATGAGAAGCATGAGTTTTCCAAATTCAGTCCACACACTTGTAGCGATTGTCCTTGTGCTTTGTTGATAGTCATTGCAAAAGCTAGTCACACCGGAAACTGGAAACGTTTGAATTTAAAAGGCATATCTGTTGAAATCATTGCATGGGATGCGTGGTGACGTACGTACATCTTCACTTTAAACGTTCTGTTTAAAATTGTAGCTTTTATAATGTTGTTCAATTGTTTTACTGAAAGCCTACTACTATTGTAGAGTCATGGTAGATTGATGTTTCGTAGATGAATAATTTAGCACGCCATATTTCAATGTTAGAACGTGCGGAGGCATATGTGGCAAATCAAGTGAATTTAAGAATTCAGTTGGACAATTGACAACTTCGTCTAGATCCATTACGGTATCTATGGACTGGTACGTTATCGTGTCATCTCTCGAGAATTTCGTTTAGAATGGTGTTATTGATTTTAGGTATTTACACCAATATAGCCCGTACAATGAGCCACTGACGACTTCATAATTTTGTGGTAGATTTGAGAAAACTTTGTCAATTAACTCATTGTTTATTGCAGTTATTTTTAAGAAATTAGTTGGGAATGTGATGCATAGTGTTGATTCATCGATAACTAGTTTACCAATCCCCATTTTCATCAATTTTTTTGCGAAATCGGCTGAAGCATAATTTACTAGATGTACACTCATATATTTTATATCGTTTTCCAATCTTGCATCTCGTTGCTCAGTTGTTTCAGATGAACAGAATTAGGCTTGGCGTTCTCTGGCGTTTCCCCATCTTTTTGCTTGATTGTTTCTGAAGATCATATTGGTCTTTTCTTTTGAACTTGAGGCGTAAAACTACCAATCAATCTTTTTATCGGAGCTATAACTGCATATAAATGGCGTTATTATAAAAAAAAACACAAATATCAATATTCTAATAGTAATCGTCACAAATAGCAACCATCTATAAACAAAAATTTCTATCGTAAATCTCAAAATGTCTGTTTGGGCACCACCCGGGGTTGGGCCTATCGCTTTTTAACTTAGCCTATCTCCTGCCTATAGCTCTAATATATCTCTGTACCATATTTCGTCGCAATCAGTCTAGCTGTTTAGAAATGCATAAAGAACAAACATACAGACAGACAGAAATCCATCTGCCGGGCTAATTTGTGAATCTAAACTATCCAGGGCGTCACCCAAACGCGTACAAAAAAATTCATTAAAATCAGTCCAGCCATTTAGGAGAAGTTCAGTGGCATAAACACGTATACAGAAGAATTATAAATATAAAGATATACGTTATTATAGATAATATGGGTGTAATTATTTGTATTTTTATATCGATAATTATGGTTGTTTTGACGAAGGGAGATGCTATACCTCCCACGTCTTCTATTAATCAATATTATGGGGGACTAGAATCAACTCCCCCCCCTCAAAAAAAAAAAAGTCAGCCAATAGGTATTTGTACTTAGGTCAAAATAATAGAATCGTTCAGAACCAAACACGCGTTCCGACATCGTGATTTACGCAGCGATCTATAGATTAGAAATCAAACGTAATAATCGTGGCAAGTACGAGACGATATATTACGAACCATCACGGCGGAAAACGTCACGAGTACATTGCGATACATCATTAAATGAACATTGTCGTGACGGAAAACCCATATTTGCTGCTCTGACATTGCGAGTAAACGTTTCCAGTCAACCGTGGTCGACAAGTGGTCGGCTGTTGTTGCCGTTGACGTACACAACCAAGCTAATGGAGATTTATTGAAAACTATTTATAATATGTTCAGGTATAGGTTCCTACGCAATGAGTACCACCACCTTCGTATTTTTATATTCGAAGTGATCACAATGATCACTCAACAGGACCAAGGTGTGACAGTTAAATCGGCCGACAATAACACGTTTTTTGCATGGTCAAAGCACCTAAAATTAAAAACGTTGAATGTGGACCACAATTTAAGATCTACTCACATAATGTTAAAAATCAATTTTACATTTTTGTAACTAATTCGTAGACATTCG